CATCCAAAGAACACAGGATGAATGGGAACTAATCTCTCATACTGAACTGACAGTTAAGCCTATAATGACTCAAATAAGCTCATTAATGGTCTGTGAGAGTCTCTATTTAATCACTGTCAGTTTATGTGCCTATTACTCTGCAGAGCTAAAGCACAACAGAGAGGAAAAGGGGCGTGGCTTGCAAATTGTCATGAATTTTTTAAAACCAGGTTGTCATTAGTTTTTACACTTCTCACTTCCTACAGTCAATTCAATTCAACTTATTTATATAGCCAGTCACATAGACACATCACAGCCCCAAACACAAACCTGATTCTTCCATTTAATATCTTTTAACAAAGCTCAAAGGTAAAACAAAAAGATTGGGCCTCATGCGAGAACATGTTCGTATTCTTATCCTAAATTTCTCTTACTTTTGTTCGTACAAAGGGTTCGTACGAACATGTCACGTCAGATTCAACAAACTCTTCTATCTTCAGGAAAAGTGTGTAAATGAGCTGCGTAAATTCCACCTGTTCGTATCCAGCTGCTCGTGCACGCGAGAGGAGATTAGCATAATTACCACCCCAAAAACACCATATAAGGCTGTGTTTCCTGCCTCAGATACAAGGAAGTGTCCATTCATGAAAAATGACAGCGAAAACTAAAAAGAAGAACTTTACGAGTTCAGAGATTGAAGTCCATCTGTCAGAGATGCAGAAAAGAAAATCTGTCATTTTTAGCAGGTCAGCTGTGGAATAAAAAGAGCTGCTAAAAGTATAAACAACTGTGTTAAAACATTTTCATTTATTCAGAAGACACACCGTTGCGCACCCCCCGCCCCCGCGCGGTCGCCGGTGGTCTCAGATGCGGTTCTGAAATAAGCATTTTAAAATGTTTGAGTAACCCAGGACTAGCTAGAGGGATTATGTATCCCCTCTGGCCTGGGAACGTCTCGGTGTCCCCCAGGACGAGCTGGAAAGTGTCGCTGGGGAGAGCGGGGTCTCTCTGCTGCCCCAGCGACCCGATCCCGGATAAGCGGCAGAAAACGGACGGACGGACAATTTATATTGTTAGTCTAAATTATTACATTTAAAATTATAACTCTATTTCAAGCAGAATAGCCTATTGTCAACATAATTATTGACTGTGATTTATTTTCAACTCAAAATATCTTCAAACTAATGAAATATAAAGTTATTAGTGAAGAAAACCCGTCTGGATAACAGCAGACTGACTGCTCGTAAAATATACGACAGGTCTGGACCACTTGTCAGTTTTGTTCGTATCTGAAAAAAATCTTAGAATACGAAAACATTGGTGAATGCCACAAATTCTCCTAAATCACTCGTACGCACAACTTAAGAACAAATCTGTGCGTACGAACAGTTCTTGCATGAGGCCCATTGTTCTGAAAACGACAAATAAATAGAGAGAAACTGACTTAAAGTGCAGCTGTCTTTTCAGTAAAGGCCTGTTTTATAGGCCCATGAGTAAATATAGACAGACACTGACTCACAAACAGACAAAATGCCTTTTCATGGTAAAGGTCAAAAATTACAATAGAATTAAATAAAGGCTGAAAGAGATTTTAATGCTGAGAGAACATAAATATAAACAAGTATGAAAGGTTACTGACCACATTTCATTGAACCTTATTTAGTTAAAGCTTTGAAAGGAACCCTTTCACACACCCACACAGACACAAACACACACACTTTGAGTTGTGTGAGAAGTTTCAACCCAAACCCAGTAAGTGAAGGTCACGGCTCAAGGGTTTGGATAAAAGAAGTGGAAGTTCCCATTAGCGTAAAGAGATGCAGACGTTAAAACTTTGTTAAGAATCAATTCTATTCATCTTTGAAACTGAACTTTTACATTTGTCCACTATTATATACAATAAGTTGGATTAACTCACTACAGGCCCTGTCACACTAAAGTTTTAGACAACTTGTGCCAACTTGTGAAAATTTTAAAGACATCTACGTTGAAGACAAGATTTAAAAATCAACTGCAGCCTCTTTTAGGTGACATAATGTAATGATCACAAATTAATCAAACTTATAACTTTTATTAGTAATTTAGACTAAAAATTATTTTATTAGTTGGCATAAGTTGTCTAAAACGTTATAGTGTGACAGGGCCTTTAAGCTGAAAAACGTCAAATGACGTAAATATGAACCTGCTCCAGTTAACCACACAACTACATCTACTAATATTTTCTATTATTATTTAGGCTCTAATAGCATAGAACATTATTTTATGGTGAAAATTTCAGGCTTTTAGTCCATATTTTGACAAAGCAACAAAGAAAAGGAACTGTACCCTTGTAGTATTAAAGACGAGCTTGAATTTCCTACAACAAACAAATCTAATACATTTCACACAAACTGAACTTCCAGTAGGCTGTAATAAAACTTCAACTTACAATATATCTTAAAAATCTCTAAAGCCAAAGAGCTTTGTGTTTCCAGCAAAAATCCAAAACATCCAAGGTTGCTTTTATTAAATTAAACAAGCAAGACATAACAAGCCACGTAATACTTCTGAAGTGTTGGTAATCAGATAGTCTTTTTGCTTCCTCGATAGTTTCCTGCCGTGCTCCTCTCAGAAGGCTGCTGGCATTCAGCTTCAACGCTCAAACCATCGCCTTAATTCAAGGCAACTGATCCACAGCAGCTGCCAGCCCATCGTGAAATATTTAAGTACATATTTAGGGTCATGCCTCCAGTGCAACAACCTGGTCTATAGATCGTATCTAAGAATGAAATTTGGTTTTGGTAGTTGTAGCTAAAAGCAGTAACGAAGTACATTTAATTTGTTAAAAGTATTTTAGTCTTTTTATTTTTTGGGGATTTGTAATTTTACAAATTACTTTTTTTTTAAAAAATCGTAACTTACTTTTATTATTCAAAACACAAAAATGATAGCTTTGCTTTTTTACTTTAAAATTAAACAAGTCAGTGTAACAGTTACTACAACTTTAAATAAGTTGCTCAATTTACTCAGCTTGGTTTAGTAGAACTGCCGACATTACTTAGTTAAGTAAATTCAACACTTCATTTCTTTCTGTGTGTGTAGAAGTAATTTTACTTTCCCATGTATTGTGAGAAGTTTTATGAATTTTATTTAAGGACTTTGCTTTTCAGAGTAATTCATTTTAACCAACGTAATTTTCTGTTAAGGTATTTTTACTTAGTTGTTTTTTTCCAAGTACTTTATACAGCTCTGTCACAGTCATTTACAACATACAGTAAAACTCGCAACATTGCACATAACCAGGATTTTAAGGTTTTACAAAAACAGCAACTCTCTTTCCACTAAATAAGATGATGTTAGTCTAAAACTCTGGCGTGACAGGGACTGGGCAGTTTGAAACTCAAAGAACTGATATGCTTTTATTTTGTTAAGCTTTTCCCCAGCTACCTTTTTATTTTGCTAACTCAAATGTTCTCAAATGGGAAATAACCAGAACAAACCAACAGCAAAAGGTTCTTTGTTCATCAATGTCAGGAAGTCCACTTCCACTCTCTTTTCTTTTGTCTGTTGACGTCCTACATACACACGAGACATTATCCCACCTCTACATTTCAACAATGCTTCATCTCAGAGTCCCGTCCCACGAGCAGGAATACCAGAGGGGTGCCGTGAGCCTCTCCTATTATCTGGCTCGCTCGTCGTCTCCAACACCCGCTCGTCTTTTGTCTGTCTCTGCTTTCCGTTTTACATCACTTCCTCTTCAGAACAACCTCCATTCACCATTCAACCAACACCCATATCGCAGTGACTTCATCAGGCAACAGCTCAAGGCTGCAGCGTGTCGTCTGGTGAAGAGGACAATTAATGCCGCCGCTGTGACTTGGTTGTCAGAGTGAAACTGCTGGAAGATAGTCCACGAGCTCTATGCATCATCTCAGGCATTTAACCTCTGAAAATCATCTGAGGTTTCATTTGTCACCAGTATGAAACAAGAACCATTCTAGTCTGGGCTATGAAAGTGGTGGGACTGTTCTCAACAATGGCTCTGCCCCATCAGCAACTACCTCAGAACCCCTTCATCAACAGGACAGAGCTTCTTTTTTATTAGACTTTTCTGAAGATTACTGTAAAAGTAATAAAGCACTAATTTTGACTCAATTTCAAAAACAAATCTGAAACGATTTAATGGGTTTACGTCTTTAAAGTGGATCATCACCCAGTAAGAATGTTTTCTCAGGCCTTGTTTCTATCTCCTGGTTTGAAGGTCAGCATTACAGTAGACCAATTGTTCCTGCAATCTCACGAGAAAGCTGCTCAAGAGCCTCTTTTAACAGCTTCAGATTAGGTTTCAGGTGGTCTGAAACTGCAGCGGATTTGTGAAGTTACAAAGTTTCAGATGTCCAGTAACTCTTGGCGTTTTAAGACTTTGCCTTTTCTCTTTTTCTTAGAGCAACACATCAACTTATATAAAACCTCTCAATTTATTGTTCAATTTGGTTTTTGTTTTGAACTAATACATTTGTATGATCTATAGCAGACAACCGATACATAATATAAAGCTGCAGGTATAAACGGTTGTAGTATGATCGTTCCTAATAAGACTTTAACATACAAGGAGACTAAAGTGCCATCTGTTGGACATTTGTGTAAATTACATTTACTGGATATTTAGATAAAAAGATCCATTTTCTTCACCTGTTTGTCGTTTCTTTGCTGGTGCTCGTCTCCCGTAGTCAGGAGGCGAGTACACTCTGGACCTGATGCAAGTCCATCACCACACAGAAAACAGAAACAACCACTCTCACTTACTCCTAGGAAGAAATAAGTTACCAGTTCTAACCACTGCACTGCCATGATGCTGATGTTTAGAACCACATGTGCCTAATCAGGCTTTTATTATTGTGAGGCTACATCAACAAAAATACCTGGAAAATTTAAATGTTCTTGTGTAAATAAGAAATTTTACAGTAAAACTTTGCAGATGCTTTTTTTTTAATGTAGCACAAAATATTCACACATACTTCATTATAGTGTTTTTTTTATTATTTTTTTTGTGTGTGTGTGGGGAGGAGGATTTTATTACAATGCATTTACAAAACAAGGCTCACATAAAGCAGGCCTTCTTTTGTTGTTACAAAGGCAGAGTAAAAACACTCAACTGAAAGTGCTCAGTACTGGAAGAACAGCTTCACTGCAGTGTGTGTGTGTGTGTGTGTGTGTGTGCTCAAAGATGCTGCTTCAGCCACAGCACAGTGTTGAGGAAGCAGTCGGCCTGAGTGTCCAACCTCGACAGAGAATGTCCATCATCTGGAAACCACAGCAACCTGAAAGAAAACAAGTTGTTACAAATTCATGCAGGTTACATCATTTTGACAAAATACACGGTATTGAATTAAAACCTTAAAAGGGGACATATCATGCAAAATCCACTTTATCTGTTAAATGCATTTTGTTGCGTTCTTGGAGGTCTCATCTAATTTTAATTTAGCCTCTCAATGTGCTGCATAAATATCTTTATATTCTGTCAGGGTCTTTTATTTTAACCCGTTCCATTTTCTCTATTTTCTATGACGTGTTCTGAATTTTTACATTATATTATTTGCAAAAGAACTTCTAAATAAGGTCTGGACTTACCAAGTACAATTTGGTGGTCTTCATCCTGCTCTGGCTCCAACATGTAAGGCTGGATGGACAAGTTTTCCCTTGTTGACAAGTTTAATTCATTTGTAAATAAAAGGTTTCTGTGCCGCTATATAGTCATAAATCCCTTTATCAAACTGGAAAGGACCAGTCTGGAGGACAGTCTCACAATGAGTTGGTCTGAGAGACACCTCAGGAAAGAGGGGCTTGTGGAGTTACAATAAGGAGGAATTCAGACCAAAGTATTTCAGTTCTACTTTATATAGACCCCAACTGAATGATTCAAATGTGAAAAAAAGGATTTAAAAGCATGATATATCTCCTTTAATAGTGAGATCACTGTTTTGATTCATCTTCTCAGGCGTTTATCATAAAAGTGCTCTGTCATACCTGACAGGTGAACCTCTGCTCTTCAGCACTTTGTAAAGCTCCAGACCCTGGTGAGGAGACACTCGTCTGTCTTTTCCACCCAACATCAGCAGCAGTGGAGCCTTGATCTGCACATCACCACACAACACTGTTATTATAATCTATAAAAAAACTAGCATTTATTTGATATTTTTAAACAAAGCGTATGTAGATCGTTTTATGTTTACCACAATCAATCACACAAATAAATGCAAATGTTCATAAAGCCTTTGAAAGTTTAAACTTGTAAACATGATGGCCTACAAAAATATCTTTGTAAATGGTTTTATCACCCCCTACAGGACACATTTGTCAATGGTTAAGGTTCAAAATGTTAATTAAATCATTCAATCAAGCTGCTAATAAAGATTTATATTATTTAAGCAGTGGAGTGGCATGTCAGTGTTGTACTTCATATAATTATAATACTCTATAGTACTACAGTTAATATCAGTATTTTAAGCATGTTTCAAAGTCTGACCTTTGCTGCATGTGTGATGGGAGACTTCTCCAACATTACTGCCAGGACTTCAGCAGTAGGGATGTTGTCAAATGCAAACTGGAACCCAGCACTCGTGTAGCGCCTGAAGGCAAAAAGAGAGAAAAAAAAAGATACAAATCTCGTCATGAAGTGACATGGATTTACAAGTGAAGGCATCGTTTGTGAGTCGTCTGCAGTGTACACAAGTGTCTCTCACCAGTCCACTATATCACTCGTTCCCAGCAGCGTGGCAACGTTGATAACTGGGTTCCTGGCTGCTCCTGCTCTGTAGAAGTCTGGATACTGACCGAGCAGGTGACAAGACAGGAAACCACCGTGGGATCCACCAATCACAGCAACGCGTTTGGGATCGAGGGTTTTGTCGCTCTGCAGCGCAGTTAGCACTGCCGTCTGGGTAAAGAAGGTAAGATGTGTTTTTTTTTTTTTTTTTAACATTTACACTATTATTTAGAGTCAGAGATGAAAAGTCCATACCTGGACGTCTTTTACATCTTGACTCCCGATCTGACCAATCAGGGACAAAATGCTGTCCTGGCCAAACCCTGTGGATCCCCGATAGTTCACTGAATGCAGGCAAAACAATAATGTAGAAAATGTGAAAGTGGAAGGCCCGGCTCAGTGTAATAATAGCTTTAACAGCAAAAAAACTAACAAGGTGATGCAACAAGATATGCTCCAAGAAAAAAGAGACGTCTCTTTTTAAAGGACATCAAAACACAGAAACTAATTCTATGCCAACACGAAACCACAAATATTTTAATGCATTTCAGCCAATAGAAACATAAACGAGTCGATGTCTCACCCATCAATACAGCAAAGCCCAGCTTCACCAGTCCAGCTGTGGTGCAGTTCCACTCTGCAGGAAACTGGGAGTGAGGGCCACCTGAGGGAGCAAAACAGTACCCAGTGTTTTCTATGTGTCACAATGCTGAACATATTTAAATCTTTTTATCCAGAACTAAATTGAGCACAGACCGTGGATGAAGACGACCAGGGGTGTTCTGGTTTCATGAAGGAGAGGACACGGTTTAACCAGGACAGCACTGAAGTCTAAACCAGCTTCATAAAAGAAAAAAAATGGAGGGAAAGAAGAACAAACTGATGTTAAACCAAATAACTTCATGCTTTATTTAAATATTTTATTATTAAAATTTAACACAAACATCTTTGCCTCTGAAATAACCACAAACGTGAACTTTTTTTAAAAAAATTTTACTCTGAATTGCAAATGACTGACTTTGCTCACATGTGTATCAGTATTTTAAATTTTTTAATTGTTTATGTTGAATCAAGTCGTAGTCGGTATAAATCTTCAGATGAAGCAGAAACTGGAAGCTCACAGTAGTTTGTGTTGTCCTCCTCTGGTGGAGGTGTAACGTCCAGAATTGTCCACTGGAAGTCAAGCGTCATGGCAGGCCGCTGTAGAGTTCGCCAGCTCACAGCTTCCCCTTCCGACGGGAGGAATCCCACCCTCTGCACAGAAATCCAGACACACAAACACAAATATGTGACTCAGGTTACAAAAAAATAAATAAATAAAACAAGATCTGCACAATTTACTTTGTTTACAAAATTTAAATTAAACTAAATGAACGTTTTGATGCACGTGTTCCATCTGACCAGGGTGGGAGGTGTGTTGGGGCTGGAGCAACAGACGACCATCAGATCTCGCTGAACTGTCACCAGCTTCCAGCTGCCGTAACGTTTAAAACAATCTGAGGAGTCTGCAGCAAAGAGGCAGCGAGATGGAGGAAGAGTAAACAGAACAAAGGAACAAATATGATTCATAAAACTAGAGAATGTGTAATTCCTGAAAAAATGTAGTGTGAAGGCTGATGCTAAAAGATTTTTGCTAAACACCTAAAAAGGGCTATAACTAGCCTAGAAATAACAAAAATAGCTGAACTTAGCACAAAGAAACAGAAAGAGCTAAAGTTTGCTGAACTAAGCAGTAAGAAGCTAAAATTATCAAAAACATTTTTAGCTGATTAGTTTGAAATAGCTAAATAGTAGCTTAAAACACAAAACAGCTAAAATTAGCAGAAAGCAGCTGAAAAAAGCACAAAAAGTTTAACTAGAAGAAGCTGAAATTATTTAAATAGTAGCTTAAAACACAAAAACAGCTAAAATTAGCAGGAAGCAGTTGAAATAAGCTCAAAAAGTCTACAATAGAAGAAAGAAGCACAAAAAGGTTGAAATTAGCAAAAGAATATCACAAAAGGTCAAATGACAATTAAAAATGATAGCTAAAAAGGCAGAAAAAAGCTCATTTCAGAAAAATAGAGCCAAAGAAAGCTGAAATTAGCACAAGGAATAAAAAAAACAGAACTAGAACGAAGTGCAAAAGTTTTTAAGTGTTTTAAGGATGTTAAAATGAAAACAGCCCTGTTCATTTTTAATTAGGAAAAACATCTGAAAAAACTAAATATCTCAAAAAGTATAAATAGCTGAATCACCAGCAGTCATAGCCGGAAAGCCCTTAAAGAGCTGAACGTTTCAATATATTAACTGTTGAAAAAGCACAAAACGGTCAAAAAAAAAGAGTAATGTTACAATTTTTCTGTCATGTTTAAAACTCACCGCTTTCTGTTCGTTCAAAACTCTTACTCGACTTTCATTCTGAAATTTCTTAAAAGGCATGTCACTAATTTCAAACGCTGGTCTTGTCATACCTTCCACCTCTCTCTGGTGCTCCTGATGAAGATGAGATGATGGAAAAGAAGGAGGAGGATGGGGAGGAGGGGGAAAGTAAGACTCAGCGGGAACAGGAGGGGCTGAGTTTGGGAGAAAGGGAGATGGGGGAGGTGGGAAAATAGAGGACAAGGGTGTAGGAGGAGGAAGAGGAGAGTAAGAAGACCAGTAAGGAGAAGGAGGACAAAGCAGAGGAGAGAGTGGAGAGGAAGGAGGAGGAGGGAAATGGAAGGATGGAGATGAGGACAGAAGGGAGAGGGGAGGAGGAAGAGGAGGAGAGGATGGATTCTTACTATCAGACAGGGAGGTGACTTGTTTTGATTTCCTGTCAACCAAAAAGAGATCCTGAGAGAGAAAACGAAGAAGAAACGAGTCACAAAGGAGTGTTGGTGGCTACAATGGCACAGTACAAACTGCAGCAGAAAATCCTGTTTGTCGTACGTTTAATTTGAATGTTACCTTCCAGTTTCTGCAGGAGCTGCTGAACACGACTCTCTGAGAATCTGCAGACCAGCAGCAGGACGGCAGAGCTTCATAAACACCTGCAAAATCACCTGAAACAGAAGAGGTATAAACGGCATCTGCTCATGATTTAAATATGCTAAGCATGATCTAAAAAGGTGTATTATGTATTTTCCAGGCCCATAGTTCAATTCTATATATACAATACACAGGTAACTGTTACCTTCAGTTCGTATGAAAAGCTTGGCGCTAATGCAAAAGCTAACATGCTAAACTGAGGTGCTCCGATCCAAGAAACAGCTCTGTTGTCCTTCATCTGCATTTTCAGTTGCAGAGGGACAATATAATGCTTTTTAATTTATAAAAACTAAAACAACCTACTGTATTTTTACAGTTTTTGTTTTACTGTTGAGGTAAATGTGTATCAAATAATGCCTAATGTTAAAAATAATTGTGCATCCCTTTAAGAACCAGAGTGAGTTCAGAAGCTCCTACAAGACATTTCAGCTTGGTAATATTTCTCCCAGTCATCATCTCATACTTATAGATATGTTAACATTTTTTATGTGAAGAAACTATAAATACAGATCATTATGAAGCCATGTTTTGTTAGTATTACAAGATCAACAGATGTGAGCTTGCACCAGAGGCTCATTTCACAAAAGTCAGATTTCTAAATTCAGGATAAGCTGAGCTTGAACTAGCCTTCAACTCGTCAACAGTTGTAATCTGTTGCTCCAACACCAAGGCGATGTGACCAGGGCGGTTCACAAAAACTGGGAAAGTAGAAGTAAAAGTAAAAGTACTTTTCCACGCTCTCTAACAAATAAACTGTTAAATTTACAGAACCAAACTGGCTCCACAAAACCAAGTTGATTAAATTGGTCAATTTCTTTATAATAAAATATATATATCGCCTCAGATTTACTCTACTGGCTTAGTGGAAAATAGTTCAAGTGATTTAAATGAGTAAATTCAACACTTAATTTTTTAGAGCACATAAACAACTCCTTTCATGATGAGTTCAGGGCAGATTTAATTTATAACAAGTAACTAGGTGTTAAAATTTAAAGTAAAGTAAAAGTATCATTTTTAGGTTTTAAAAGTAACTAAGTAAAAGTCACAATTCAAAAAAATACTTGGTAAAATTATAAATCCTCAAAAAAATTACTTAAAGGCACAGTGTGTAGGATTTTGTCAATTCTTTTAGCAGAAATTAAGATAATCACTAATGACAATAATAAAAAAAAACATGTCTAATAATTGCAGACAAAGACCTTGTTTTATTATTTTTACCTTTATAAAAAGCTGTTTATATCCCCATGGTCGCGGGTCGCCACTACAGGCAGCCGCCATCTTGTCTAAGAAGGCTCATGAAGGACAAACTGCGGTGGTGGCGTCTAAAAGGTTTTAGTTGTAATGCTATAAATGTAATATTTGTTGTCTGTCATTGTAGCTGGGATAATTTTACTTATTAAAGCTCATAATCTTACCACTTGAAACATCACTAGCCCTGAAGC